AATCCAAATACCAAGGTATTTAAATTTGGCAGAGCTAATTTTGAAAGGAACTGGACCCACATGCTGCTCTTCTATTGGAGTCACAGGCATCGATTCACTTTTTTGAAGGTTAACCTTATAACCAGATATGTTTCTGAACTTTTGAAGTAAAAGAAGTAACTCAGGAATACTKYACAAGGGATCTGAGATATAAAGAAGAGTATCGTCAGCGTATAAGGATACTTTATGTTCAGTGCCAAACCGATTAATACCTTTAATCTTAGGGTTTTTATTGTTCAGAATAAAATAAAAGGTAATTGCCTCCTTCAAAATAAAACAAATAAGCTGCCTTTTTGTGTCTTTTAAGGCCTCCTCCTCCTCCTCTCGTCACTCTCTCGGGTCCCCACCTTGAAGCGGAATGGAGAAGAGGAGGGCAAAAATAAAAAAAGAAAAGAGGAGAGAGGAACCGGTTCTGCAGGTAGAGGCCGAACCCAGACTCCCTCAAAGCCTGTTGTCACCGTTATTTCTGCCGCGCATGCGCGCTGCTGCCCGTTTCCTGCTTTTTTTTTTTTCAAAACAAGTACCTGTGCTGCAGCTTTTTTTTTTTTGACCCACCTCTCCGCGCGCACGCGTGTGCGTTAGATCAGGAAAATCTGCCGTTTTTTTTTTCACTCTCCCGTTATTTCCGAGCGCTCTGTCTGTTCTTCACCTGAGCGGACTCACCTGTCCGGGAAACTCGTTCTTCTCCTCCTCCGCGGAGCTGGTCACCGTGTGGAGGAAAGAAAGAACAAAGAAAAAGAAGATAAAAGCGATCAAAACGGTGTGAAAAGGAGAGAAGAAAAGAGGGGCAGAGCGCGCGCAGCGGCACCTTCCAGTTTTCTCCTTCCTGCTTTCAGAACTTTTACCTGGCTGACTTCTGACGTCGCCGGAGCGGCTCCGAACTTCCTCCCCTTCCTTCCCAACAGATCCGAACTCGGCTCGGTTTCGGTCCCGGGGGGTTCCGGCATGCCGCGGGCCTTTCTGGTGAAGAAGGCGAACGCTTCGCCGACGAAGCGGAACTGGAGCGAGCTGCCGGACCACAAGCGCGGGGACGTCTACGTCCCAGGTGAGTCCACGCTGCACCCGAGAGCCATGTTTGTTTGTTTGTTTGTTTGTTTGTTTGGAACCAAAACCGAACCGCGAACAGAACCGGGTTAGCAGAGGACGCGAGGGGTTTGGATCAGTTTTTGTGGCGCTTTTACGCACAGGTTGGAGCGGTTTTTACGCAGATTTTGTTTGTTTTTTTGGAGCCGCCTGTGAGGCAGGTGAGGAGGAGGAGGAGGGTCCGGTTCGGTGCTGAGTGTAACGGGCCCAAAGAGAACCGAATAACGGGAAACACGACCTCCAGCTCCTCAGAGGAAAATCATGACTTGAAGTTTTAATTTTTTTAAAAATGCGTAAATTTGCTTAAAAAGAGTAAATTCTCCAAATCAGATCCTTTTAAAATTTAACTCGGACTTTTTAAAAGTGGATCAGAACTTTCTGAAGTTGTAAAGATGAAACAGTTCTTTAAAAGGTTCTGTTTGGAGCCGCGGCTCTGGAACCAGAACAGGCCCGTTGCTTTTTTTCCTCATCGACCTTCAGCCTCTGATTCCTTCTTCCTTGTTCGGTTTTATCTCTCGCGCTGTTTTTAAACTCTCATTCAAGCTTAAAAAAATTAAATCTAAAATATCAGATTTAAATAATTTGGGTTTTATGTGGTTCTGTTAGTATAAAATAGGTTGTTGGTTCAGTTCAGAGAACTTAACGGTTCTGCAGCAGGACCTGAGTGCCCCCCCCCCCCCCCCCCCACACACACACACACACACCTTGTCCTGAGGACAGTCCTCATTGTTGTCCTGGGCCGAGGCTTGATTGTGGACCCACTCCGGTATCAGATAACAAGTAACGGACTACACCCTAAACCCTTCCCCCCTCATTCCCTTCTCTCCTCTCCTCTCCTCTTCATCCCCGTTAACTCCTCACCTCCTCCCTCCTCACTGTGTGGAGCAATCTGAAGGCTTTTATTTTGAAAAAGTTAAAACTTTGTTTGTTTAAACTTTAGTACATTTTTACTCAAACACAAAAGATTTATTTATTTTACATTTATATCTATATGTTTTAACTCCTTTTAGAAATAAAAAAAATCTCATCCAATTAACCCCGGATTATAATTTTTTATTTATTTGATTAGTGTTTGGTTTAGTTTCTGGAGCGCCCTGTGCGTCATGACGCACAAAATAATAGACGCAGCAACGGTCTTCAGCCACAGTTTCTGGTATGTGCCGTTACTTGATGTACCTGCTTGGCGCGCGCGTCACACTTTAACACGCGCGTGCACACACACACACACACACACACACGAGACAACCCCCCCCCCTCCCCTCCCCAACAAAGACAGGTATGATAATTACCTTAAAGGACTGTTTGTTGAGCGTCTTTTATGAGACTTGGATTCAGTTCAGTTTGGATAGTTTTTCAAACTGTGTGTGTGTGTGTGTGTGTGTGTGTGTGTGTGTGTGTGTGTGTGTGT